TTCTTTCTCCTCCCTTCCTTAAAAAGCTGTCCACTGAAATGCTGGAAGAAGTCCAGAGATAGCAGGGAATGCCCCAAAATATATATAATGAACAGTACTTGGGTCAACTTTGCAAGCTTTATTATGATTTATCTTCAAATCAGAAAACTTCAAATGAGTGGAAAGCTTTTTAATGTTACACATACGGGTATATTTTTATAATATATTTCCTTGATGATAAAGAGAGCTAATCTCACTAGAAAAAGAGACATTGCATGTCCTCCATCTCTGTTTGTAGCTCCCTCTTATTTGTAGCTACGTGCCCATGAATTGAGACAGAACTGTGCATTTTTTTACAGTGGGGATAACTCCTTGTTGTGTGTGCTTAATAACTCTTCCTAGATTAGCTCTGTGCTTTATAGTATTTTTTATGCTGCGTTTCCATTCCCTGGGTTCCCAACACTTACGTGATAGAGAAATGTGCTGCAGAATTAAAGGTTTAAGGCCCATGATTTAAACCTTGAATGGGAATTTTTATTGGGGGAATTTTTTAATTATTTTCTGATTTTTTTTTTGCTTATCAGATTCTTAATGAAGCAGTCATATGTGTCAAATGTGTTGCATAAGTTAAAAGAAGGAGAAAAATTATATGAAGTTTGAGTCCATAAATTTGACTTTCCTGGGTCCCAGCAGTTTGGTCTGAGTTTGTATATAAAATATATGCATAATAGATCTGTAACGTTTATATACAGAGTCATAGAGCTACAACTAGATAGATACAAAAAATGAACCAGCCAAGGAAAATATATTGCACTGTATGATTTAACTTGCAAACCTGTCAATGGTTTTTATTAAAATGTAATTACTGTACATTATGCACTTCATCTCATATTGATCTGCTTCAAAACTTTCTTTCCCTGTCAAATTGAAGTAAATTACTTCATTGTAGTAAGAGAAAATGAGAGCCATTCTTCTAAATATTTAGCACAATTTCCAGCTCACATTCATCCTGGGCAAGTGTATTTTTGTCTGTAGACTAGCTTGACATGTCTAAGGAGCCTATGTCATCACACACAATTACATCCGTAATCCCAAGCAAAGACACAGATGTCATGTTTCCAAAAAAATAATAATAATAATAATAATAATTCTTGTGACCTACAAAGTCACTTATGTAATGATAGGATGATAAAACAGTTGGGTGGGAAGGGTTTCAGTTTAAGTGTCCAAGTTTCAGATAGCCATTGGTTTTGTTTTACTTGTTACATTATTTGAGAAAATAATTACCCAACCTCGTCTTGTCTACATCACTGTTTGTAAATAGTTCTTACCCTGCATAGGCAGCAAGCTCTGATTATGTTTGGCTGAGAAACACATTGGGCAGCACATGGTGTAAATCTCAGCGACTACTAAAGCCATTGTCCTGGTGGTGATGTAACTATTTTCACTGTGCCATTTGCCTGTGTAGCATATTCTTTCTTTGCCAATAACAATATGAGGCTGTCATTATGTGACGGTCTAGGCTTGGTTACACCTTAGTAACATTTAATCAGTGTTGTGATTAAGTTGCTTATTAAATAGGAAAAGTGATGAACCTCGCTGAAGAATAATGCTTCACTTATGGATGGTAAGCATTTGAGATTGATACATGTTTTATTCTTATTTATCTGCTTATGGCAAGCTTCTTTCACTTATCCAAATCATCTCAGCTCTGTACCATCCAAACTGACACAGTTGCACTTCCATCTGGATAAAATACTGCAAGCATGATGTATTACTTCCAGTAAGTGCAAATGGAAATCTCAATAGAAAAAAAGGCATCCTGTTTAGAAAAACGTTCATGTTACATTTTGAAAATATTTCATCAGAACTTCTGTTTGTTTTGGGTTTTATCTTTTTAAATCCCAGTCAATAAAACAATATCTGAGAACCATTAAACACATTTCTGCTAAATTTGCCTATGCCCAGGGTTTATTCCCCCCCCTCCCCCCAAACAAGTATAACAAGTTTTTAATCAGTATTCAATACATACCAGTGTAGATTCCTCCCTGGGGTAAGTGAGTTGGCTTCAGTGGAGTTCTGCAAGGCATGATTTTGGCTCATTGTGTTTCAGTCTGTCTTTCGCATATTATTTGATGTAGATCTCGCTAATGTTGTTCACCTGACTGAAATCTGGATAACAATGCATGTTTAAGTTTTTAATTTTTTTCTTTTTTAATCAGCGTGGTGGTGTTCTCATTAGTTTCCTTCCCTCGTTGTCATTTTTTGGCATCAGGGTTACACTGACACCACTTTTGGCCTTTTCCACAGCAGGATATTGCCATGTTGACCATTATCCAGGAAGCCAGACTGCCACCACAGTGCTGCAAGTGAGAGATCTTAGTTCCATTCAGTAAACGATCCCCCCTTTTCTGGGTTCTTTTTTTATCTGCTTTTTGAATAGCTGTAGAGTCACAGACTATAGCATTTGTTCTGTAATGCTCTTTGTTTAGGTATTTATGACTTCCCCTGTGACCCTCCTTAACTAGTCACAGGTCTCCACTTTAGAAAGGAATGGGAAATGTAATTTGATTTTTCGCAGTTAAAATAACTCCATTGACTTCTCCACGATAAAATAACCCAGCGCTTGTCCAAATAATCATCATAAACGATTACTGTAATAACTAGTAAACTGATATGTTTGGAACTTAATGTAGCAGGGAGATGACTATCAGATCTAGATGTACTGAAGACCGTCATTACTTCCATCACCACCTGAATAATATAGTAGAGTAACTAGGTAGAGCAGATGTGTTCTTAACCTAGACAGAAAAAGAAAATCAAAAAAGATTCTGCCTGGTTCCTCTATCAGACAGGCATCTCTTATGGCCAACATTTTAAAAAATGGCCTCTAATATTTTTGAGGGTCAAAATTAGAACACATTGGGCATGCATTTTCAGAAGGGCTGAACATCCACAACTCAAATCAAGGTTAACAGGAGTGATGGGTATTTACAACTTCTGAAAATCAGGCCTAAGGTTGCTTAAGTTAAATACCCAGAATTAGCTGCCATCTTTGAAAATTTGAACCCAGAACACTTAATGCCATAGGTCAGAGATCCAAAGTACTATGCTCCCCAGATACTGATTCATTTAAAAAAAAAAGTTACTATTTCATCCAGTGATTTCCAAGCACTTTACAAGTGTTAAACCTCAGACCCCTGTGACATAGGTAAATAGGATACCCAGGCCTCTATGAAATATTCACAATGAAATTTGGAAAATCTCAGTGTTTTGAGGGCTTAGCATTGTATACCATTTTTGCTTGGAAATGGGACCATTTCTGAATGATTCTTTTTAACAAAATTCAAAATTTCCAAGTAAAAACCTCCGTTTTTGAAATTTCATTCCAGTATACGTGGGGGGAGGGGGGGGGGGTTTCTCTTGCATAAAAGCCATGAAAGCTTGCATGTTTTGGTGCCAGTCCTCCATTTTACAAAGATATCACACAAAATTAATTTAGGGCACTTAAGCACATGCATACTGAGACTACTCTTATGCGTAAAGGCACACATGTTTGAAGGAGATGGGCTTTACTGGACTGTGAAATTGCCTGGAATTATACTGTGAAAATATTTTTGCAACGTTTTGTGAAAAAAACAACAACAAATTAAACACTGTCACAGAACCCTAATTATATCACCATTCTACATACTGATAAGGCTTAGTATCTTTTAAGTGACTTATCCAAAAATGAAACAGTGAGTCATTGGCAGAGCTAGGCATAGCACACAGGAGTCCTGGTTCCTGGTCCCCATTTGGCACAATCGCTTGTTGGTTAACCTCAGCTTAAAAAGAGAAGAGGCTGAGAACATGTAGTTGTAGAAAAGGCAGCTCAGTTTAACAGACACACAATTACATCTTGAGTGCAAAATAAACGTGTGGGAAAAATTCTTGTAAGTGGATCCATGTAAGAATAACAAAAACCCTCTGAGCTGTTTCCTGGCTGCTGTCACTCCCAGCTCTGGTTGCACATGCTCAGGAAGGCATCCTGAAGATTTCCCACAGCAGCTGGGGTGGGGGAGTCTAAGGTATAGTCCCCATATGTGCACACAGATTCCTCTCACCTGCTCCAAACGCCAGTTTACAGTGTGTGGTGCAGACAGAAGAGGAACAGTTACTCTGACTTATAATATTGCTACTGATTTCATGAACTAAGATGTGTGTGTAGGGCATGTCCCCCACTCAACCCTAATGATACACATTTGTACAACAAAAGAGATTCCTGTTCTATTTCTATTAAAGAACTGTTTGATCTATGTCTCTTGGTTTGCTCTTCCCTTCCTTTTCCTTTTGGGGTAAACACCTGTTTGTTTATGGAATGATTGTTGCCCAGAGTCTATTTTCTGAGGTAGTAGGAATGCTAGAGTCTTTCCTCAAAAACCACAATTTTAAAGGCCTATACAAACACATAGCGTGAAATTCTGACCCCATTGAAGTCAGGGCTTCATGGGGCTGGGATTTCAGTGTTGAACAAATTAGTTTGCACACACTCAAGAAAACAAAACTGGGGAGTCTGTCTTATTTGTTGACATATATAGTACTTGAAATATAAGGATATCCTAGCAAAACCTAATTCTAGGGCCATATTCTGCTTTCACTTACACCTGTGTTGATCAGGAGTAACTGCACTGGAGTTAATGGAGTGGCACCAGTAAAAAAAAAAAAGTGTGAGATCAAAGTCAGGAGCCCTATCGTAATAGTAGTTGGAGTTGGAAAATGCATGGTAGATCAGGGCAGGGCACAGATGTATTTCCCTAATAGAGAATGTATCAATAGTCAACTGATACCTATGCTGAGTCTCCCATCATCCTGCTCCTCCATCCAAACTACTTCCTAAAGCTTCAAATACAGTAAACTTGTGTTGTATACAGCCACTTGACACTGAAACCAAGTTGAAATAATACCCAAATAGGAGCAACTATAGACTGAGAAGTGTTTATGGCCTGCTGATCTAACCGTAAAACTCCTTTTGATTGCAGGTATTCGCCCACAAATAATGAATGGCCCTATGCATCCTCGTCCTTTGGTGGCTTTGTTAGATGGAAGGGACTGTACAGTGGAGATGCCAATTTTGAAAGACTTGGCTACTGTTGCATTCTGTGATGCACAATCAACTCAGGAGATTCACGAGAAGGTAAATTTAACTTCTGTAACTTCATTGAGATGTTTTTGAAGGGGAAAAAGATGCTTGTCCTCTTTAACAGCGTATTTATTTTCCTGTTTGAGTGCTGCATTTTAGTGTGATGAACTGACCATACTTCTAAAAATATCTGTGGCTTACTACTCAGTAGAACTGGCTGGAAATCAGGATATAATTTTCATGGATATTTCAGGAAGGTTTTGTTTTGTTTTTTGTTTTTTGTTTGGCTTTTTTGCATCAAAATTTTGATTAAAAAATGCCCTCAACATTTCTAATTTCGAAGTTTTTCAGACAACTCTCACATTCAGTGTGAGGTCCTACGCTCAACTCAGTGGCATCGGTCTGTCTGTTTGGATGTAAACTTTTGAATGTTGCACCCAATCAATTCCAAAATTTCAGGGAAAATTCTAGGTGTCAGTGGGCAGAACTTTGTTGATTTTGGAGAAAATCAGTCAACTGGAAGAGGGAAATGGGGGACCCATGGAGTTCCTGGAATCTGGTTAGCACACACGTCAGCTTCAACCAAGTCTATAATTGTCTCCGTATCAAAGAACTGGTTATTGGCAGCCATTAACACCTTGCAACCTAACAGCATCCCCCATCTCAGCTTGGCCCATTCTCCCAATAGAGTTTAAAATGTTGACACCTGGAATGATTTACCTCCCTAGACAGAAAGAAAAAAAATAATGGCGAGGGGGGAAGGAGGACACACACACAGCCTCTGGCATGGGAGGAAATGGGTGATCTCAGTATGGGAGAATTGGGGGATCCCAGAATGGGAGAATTGGGGACTCACAGAGCTCTGACTGAGGGGTGGGGGAATTGCAGGGAGCCCCTGAAATAGAGGGGTAGGGAGGGTGGCACACAGGGAGCTTGTGGGGGAGAAAGAAGGGATGCAAAGACCTTCTGATGTGTGCAGTGAGCTCAGCCTACAGAAGTAACAGTGTGCGACCCTCTAGTGTAATAAATACTTGTATAATACCAAGGGGAGCACATAGAAATGCTCACCAGTTATATTTCTTATTGTATAACTGGACTTTTCCCTAAGCTTGTTCCAGTGTATAAGATCTCCTCAAAGTCAATATGGCATTAATTGCCTATAGAGCTCTAGTGCAGCGTCTCCTCTAAGGATGAAGCATCTCACAAATACTGGACCTTACCTTAGAGTGTGCCCTCAACTCCTGTTAACTCCTGCCACAGTCAAGGGTGTACAGCACCACAAGCCCAGCAGGGTCAGGCCCATTGTTTCCATTGTACACTACTGTAATAGTTGTTCCCAGTTCTTCCCCACCTAAATGACTAGGATTTTCGGACGTCTTTTTGTTCTGTTTCAGGTATTAAATGAAGCCGTTGGGGCAATGATGTACCACACTATCACCCTCACCCGAGAAGATCTAGAGAAGTTCAAGGCCTTAAGGGTCATCGTTCGAATAGGCAGTGGCTATGACAACATCGATATCAAAGCTGCAGGGGAGCTCGGTATGTGTCCATTCCGTGCCAATGGCCCCTCTGCCATTTGTTTGTTTCTCTTTAAATCAACACAGGTGACATTGTTTCTTATCTGCGTTTGATCAACGTGGCATGTCAGACCAAATTTTCAAGTGGGTTTTGACTCAGCCCCTAAAATTGTGGGTGCAGTTTTGTGCGTTTTAAGATGTTGCATGCAAAAGAACATGACTGTGAAATACACAAAAGCGTGGACAATTGCAATTTTAGAAACTGCTTTTTAAAACTTGCCCCAGTTAGAAATATATATATATCCACCCACAGCACAAAAAAATGAGATTGATGTATGTTTTAGATTGATTTTATTAGTTCTGTGGGGTGTTTTTCTTATTCTTGTTAGTATTTATTTCTCCATCATGTATAATTTGTATCTGCATAATCAAATAGTCAGAAACTACCATCTACAGTTGCAGGCACTTTTTTTTGCAATCACCAGTTGAATAGTTATGGGTCTGCCCAAGTTGCATGCAAATGCAGATTGCTTGCGGAACTCTGGGGATTTGCCCATACAAATAACTGGGTGAGCTAAATTGCATCTACAATTCTAGTAGCTGTGTTGAGACCCCTTTTGATAATTTAGTCCAAAGAATGCAATCCATCAAGAAGTACCATGACAGCATTGCTCAAGATTGCTTGTATTAAAGATTTTCTCTCAGGAAAATAAGAACAACAGACATTTAGACCCTTAGATAATTCAGGTAAAATAGTTTCAAATAGCAGAGTCCTGTGGCACCTTATAGACTAACAGACGTATTGGAGCATGAGCTTTTGTGGGTGAATACCCACTTCGTCGGATGTATTCACCCACGAAAGCTCATGCTCCAATACGTCTGTTAGTCTATAAGGTGCCACAGGACTCTTTGCTGCTTTTACAGATCCAGACTAACACGGCTACCCCTTTGATAGTTTCAAATAGTCATTCCTAAAAAGCAAATCCTAGCATCGTGAAGTATTTTTCAGCTAGAGAAGCAGTGTCTTCTTAGTGTGACAGATTCTTCTGTATTTGTAACTCTTACTCTTACAAACACTACTGCATAATCCTCCCTTTTAAACATTGCAAATTGGGTGGCCAAATGATGGGGTGTGAAGTGGAAGATGTAATTTCTCTCTACAAATGTAGCCAAAAGTTTAATTGGCACCACTATCTAGAAGGGAATTATTTTAAAACTAAGAAGAGATCTTTAACTCTGTATAGCCGATACATGACAGGTGGCTAAACATAGTGACGAGTCATGCAGTATCCACCATCTGAACACAAGTGGCTCAATTCTGATTTCAGACATTCAGGCTCATTTAACGCATACTCTCTCCTACTCAGCTATCTCCTACTTGGAATAATTACAGTAAGAGCAATGAAATTCAACCTTTACACCAAATTGTTAATTCATTTTAAATTGTGGAATTGAAACAGAATCCCTGTGTTACCTAACAGCATTCCAGATGAACACCCTGTGCTACAGAAAGTTCAGAGCTGCCTCTCCACAGCCTCTTCGCTCTTCCTGATGATTATGAGAAGCAGAAATTAATAATAACAACAGGGTTGTACAGGCTAATAGGAAGAGCCCTGTTGTGACGGAGCTGCTTTTGTTTTACTTTAGGATGGCTGCAATCCCTGCAGTCTCACACCTGCTTTGTAGCAGTTTCTGGGATTTGTAAAATAACATCAGTGGCTATATATTTGAAAAGATTTATTTTTTTCTGCACCACTTGTTCCTGTCTGTTGCCTAGGTGTGGATAACAATTCTGTTTTTACTGTCTGATCACAGATTTTTCATATCCGTTCTTTTTTGACATTAACAAAAGCTTATTTTCTTTATGGGAACAGGAAAATGACATTTAAAAATGTTCTCACAGATCTACTGAGAAACTTGCTTTACTTTTTCATGTCCCCATAGAGATGCACTGTACCCATATAAAAGCAAAGGCAGCATTCACCCATGAATCTAGGCAGTGCTTTGACACAAAACTTTGTATACTTTTGCATAACAGATGTGCAGCAGTTCTGACAGATTGGAACAGAACAAATATCCCTAAGGAAAAGTGCTTCTATAATGGTCAAACCATTTATTATTCATTGCTATTAGTTATAAACCAAAGCTACAGCTGCTAACGTCTCCTTGCCAGCGTCTACTCTTGTGACAGGGATAGATATCTGTGATTAAACAGATACATGATAGTTCCTCTGCAGTTTGTAGATCTTACGTAGTTAACTTCTGAAACTTCAGAGTCGCGTATAGATGTTTTCATGATGCCCGCCCTATGCTCCGAAGAAGAAATCACTCTGGATCCACTTGTGTAGAAATATTAACAATCATGCCAACCAGCCTTGACACCACACGCTAATCATGTACTCCATATCAAGAAGTTTTTGAGGAAAGAATATAATCCAAAGTAGATAATCATGGCTATAAATGTCATTCTCGCCTCCCTTTCAGATACATTAGCGATAACTGTTCACAATATTCCTGTTAGATTTTAATTAGAATTATCCAGGATGGCACTGATTTGGCAAACCAAGATAGTCTTCATCACATACCTAATGGCCTAATTATTTGTGTTATAATTATAGACTGACCAGAGTCCCAAGGTGGGGCACACTGAGATTGTCCCATTCTTTGCAGTTTGCCCTAATTGAGCAGACAATCTCCCAAACTGGTGGTTATTCTAATACTTAGATTCACCAAGCCAGCAACAAAATAACTTCTACAATACCTTACTGGGTACCCAGAAACCAGAAACACAGTTCCCTTAAAGCAACCCAGCCTTGAGCTCTCACCCAGACAGCCAAGTCAAATATGATGAGGATTACTGAAAATCTTGTTCATCATATAAAAAATTGTACCAATCCCAAAGGATCAGACACATTGCCCACCAGGTTAATGAATATTGCAGATCTTACCCAAATACACGCTTTACAGCCAATTCATATTAACTAAAATAAGATTTATTAAAAAAGAAGAGAGAGAGCATAGGTTAAAAGATCATTATACATACAGACTTGACTAAAATTCTTAGATCAGTTTCATAGTAGAGATGAACTTTAGAGTTGCAAAAGTTCTTTCAGAATTAGTTCCATAGGTCACAGCCCAATGTCCAATATTAGGGTGACCCAGACTGGAGCTGGAGACCTTCGTCTTGCAACTCAAACTTCCCCTGATGAAGCTTAAGCAGATCTGAGATAACAGGATCAGGGCCCAAGAGTTATTTTTATAGTTCTCAAGCAAGCTATCCGATAGCCTCTTGACAGCAGGCATTCCTTAGGTGAAGAATAGTGATTTGAAGTAACCTCCTATTTCCTAAGCATTGTTGGTAACTAGCTACAGGGATTAACAATAAGGCAACTGCTCATCTCTTGCCATTTACAGGTAGTTTACTACATACTTCAAAGAGAAATGAAGACAGTGATATTACTACGTTCAGTTCATTTAAATGTTAATATCTCCTTTTGATCTTTGAATTAACAGAATACAGCGATAGACAGGAACCGTTTGGTTACATTGTCAACCTCTAACAATATATATGTAAACACACAAAAAACACAAATCATTATCTATTAATATGTCTCTACAGGTTGAATCTGGGTCAATTATCCTGCTAGTTGTGTAACCCTTTCTGGCCCTGTGTCACAAAGACATAGGGCATTTTTATGGAGACATTTTCCCTTCATTTCACCTTTTTTTTTTTTTTTTTAAACTCCTAATGTCAGGAAATTATTCTATAAAAATGTCTCTCAAGCCCCTTGCCATAACTGACTGGACTGTGATGAATTAAAATTTCACCTTTGAAATTTTTTTAATGGTCTTCTTCAGCAACATCCATACTAGACGGGGTGGTGAAACTTTTCTGAAATCAGTCATGCACACACTGAATGCAAGCAACATGGGGACACGTCTAACTGCGTTATCCTTAATGAGGGGTTGTTAAAAGTGCTGTGCATGCACTTTACTTCTGTCCTGCATTCCCCTGCTGCTGCTGCTGCAACTGAATAAACAGGCAGTAGGCAAATATTACAATTTAAAGTCTCTAATGTCTGTGCTGAAATTCCTCCTGTTTAATGTAATATTTAGATCTTGATAGCATAGCTTTTGTTCCCTTGTTGCAAAGAAAAAAGGGGTTTTCATCCTATCCTAGACCTGAGAAGACTCAACAAATACAGGTACTGGCCTCAGATTCAGAATAACTCTTGCCTGCATCCTTCCATCTCTCCAAGCTGAAAATTGGCTTATAGCTCTTGACCTGCAGGAAGAGCCTGGCCCAACAATTAACAATACAGAGTATTGCCCTTCGTTCTCTCCACAACACCAAGAATATTCACAAATGTCTGGGGGTGGGGCAGCACACCGAAGGAGGAAGGGACTCCACATCTATCCGTGCCTAGATGACAGGCTGATCAGGAGCAAGGTCCAAGCAGGAAACTGCAGCAGCCGTGGAATCCTCTACCTGTTCTCCAATTAGGACTCCTTGTGAACTATGAAAAAGAGTCTGTAACAGCATCGCAGACAATAGAGTTCATAGGAGCCATGATCAACTCTCGGTTGGTGAGAGCTCACCTGCTAGGGGGACAAGTGCCTGTCTGTTCAGTCAATGACAAGGGACTTCCAGTCGAACCTGGCAGCAATGGTGTGTACACGTCTGGGGCTGTTGGGTCACCTGTCATTGTGCATATACTGGATGCTGCTTGCAAGACTTCATCTGTGGCTCTTACAACTGTGATCTCCATCCAAGCATCACATGAACAAGAGAGTCACGTTCCCACCCAGGTTCTACAAGAGCCCACTTAATGGCTGAACCTAGAGAACGTATGAAAGCGTGTTCTTTTCTTGACCAGGTCCCACGATGATCTGAATGTCCTGGAGTTCAGGGACATCCAGTCAGCCTGCATGGCATTCCTATCTGTTCTCTGGGACCCTATGGTGCAGATGCACTACATCAACAAGTGTGGAGGTGTTGGGTCATCCCCTCTCTGCTAGGAA